GGATAAAATGAGGTATTTGTAAAGTGCTTTGCAAACCTTAAGGCACCATATGAATTCTAGTTATTATTACTGTCACATGACTAGCCTATTGATCTTATATATGATTATAAATTACATCCTTTAATTACTACTTATTCCTACCAGACGGGTCTTTTCCATTTCAAACAAGTGTAATATACTTGTTTTATTCTCAAAAGACTGTACTTTCCTATATAACATGATTGGAAGAATACTGATGTTAAAAAGACGGTGCTTGAAGTACCATCTTATACCTTAACCTTAAATCACTGAATGGGTGTTGCTTCAGACAAACTGAGAACTAGGAAAGACCTTAGCTTTTAGGCCAAGGTCTCCCACTGCATCCTGGGCCAATTCCTGGTCATCCTGACCTATGTCTTGCCACTGGACACTGATGACTTTGGAGGACAGAGTAAGGCTGAGGACTTTGCACAGCTCTGCCTCACTTAAATCCAATTCACTTACAAGTCAAGACACACCCTCCTGATGTCATTGGTCTTCCAACAACACACCCTTGCAAAAAAAGGAAAATGACAGATGTTGGAGGGACTGTAGGAAGACAAGGATGTTTATGCTCTTTTGGGGGAGCTGGGAATTTGTTGAGCCTTTCTAGAAAGCAATTTAGAACTGCTCCCCAAAAGTTGCTAAACTGCCTGCACTTTGACCTATCTGTACCACTATTGATCTTATATGTACAAAGATATCAAAGAAAGGAGAAAAAATTGTGTTTTTGGCAGCTTTTTGTAGTGGCAAAGAACTGAATATCAAGAAGGTGCCCATCCACTGGGGAACGGCTGAATACTTGTTCATTTGAATGTAACAGAATACTATTTTGCAGTAAGAAGTGATATAAGGAATGGTTTCAGAGAAGTCTGGGAAAACTTATATGAACTGATGAAGAGGGAAGTGAGAACCAGGAAAACAACTCAATTCACACCATAAAAGCAATTCGGCAAAACCAAATAACTTTGAAAGATGATATATTATATATATATCTATATATATAAAACTACATAAATACTGCATTATTTATATACTATTTTAACTATAAGAAAGATGATCAACCATGATTTCAGTGGACCCATGATGAATAATGCTACCTATCTCCTGACAGAGGGGATGGACTAATTATGCAGAATGAAACACACATATTTTGACATGGCCAATATATTTTGCTTGGCCATGATTATTTGTTATTAGAGTTCTTTGTTTCTGAAGTGGAAGACTGTGCAGGTAGATAGGAGAAAACAAAAAGCTTGATTTAAAAGAAATTTTTTTTAATTTTTGGTGAGGCAATCGGGGTTAAGTGACTTGCCCAAGTCACACAGCTAGTAAGTGTCAAGTGTATGAGATCATATTTGAACTCAGGTCCTCCTGACTCCAAGGCTGCAGCTCTATCTACTGCACCACCTAGCTGCCCTCAAGCTTGATATTTTTAATAAATTAATTAAAAAATTTAAAAACATGCCTTTATTTCAGGGCAAAGGTTGGGGTCATTAAGCTAACTTTGCAATTCTCTAAAAGCAAATGAATCCACTCTCCTCTTCCTATTATATTCTGGGTCCATTTCCAGGGTCTCTTCTTTATTTACAAGCTCTATATATTGTTCATCCAACTATATACTGTAGTTTGGACAATAAACTTCATCTATTTGATTTTTCCTTTACTGAGTGAGAATGAACCCTTTTAAATGATTGTGGATCTCATTTAGGAGACTAACGTGTACTGAGCCTTCCTTAAATCAGCATGTCACCAACAAATGGAAGCACCTGAAGGACCTCACCATCTATAATAAGAGTTATTAACCTTTTTGTGTTATGGAGATCTTGGGCAGTCTGGTGAGGCCTATGGACCCCTCTAAGAATAGTGTTTTTAGCTGCATAAAATAAAATATATAGGAACAAAGGAAACCAATTATATTGAAATATAGTTATCAGAATATTATAAAATGAAGTGCTGAGAATCCAGATTAAGAATCCCTGGTTTATAGGAAAGTTACATGCAACCATTGTCCTGTATGACAATAGCAAATACTTTTGGCAAAGCATGCATCTGCCTGTTTTATTCCTGCCTTATTATTAATGATTGGAGTGTTATTAAACAAGGTTATCTGTTATACCTTTGGAGGAATTCTGCATAATTTTGACATGTCCATGGGGAGATACTTTATTTTTTTTTGTTTTTTAAAATTTTTTAAATTTTTTTAAAAATGCATTTTTGTTTATTTCATTACATATTTCCCAATTAATTTTTAAAACTTTCTTTTTTAAAATTAATTTATTTTGATTTATCAACAATCACTTCCATATGTTTTTGAGTTTAAGATTTTTCTCCCCCTCCCTCCCCACCACCCTCCCCAAGACAGTGCACAATCTGATATAGACTATACATATACATTCCTATTAAACATATTTTCACATTAGTGATGTTGTAAGTAAGAATTAGAGCTAATAAGAGGAACCACTAGAAAGAGGAAACAAAACAGAACAGAAGAAAAAAAATAGCAAATAGTATGCTTCCATCTGCATTCAAACTCCATAGTTCTTTCTTTGGATGTGGATAGCATTTTCCATCACAATGCCTTTGGAGATGTCTTAGATCCTTGTATTGCTGAGAAGGGCTAAGTCTATCAACATTAGTCATCGAACAATGTGGCTGTTATTGTGTACAGCGTTCTCTTGGTTCTGCTCATTTCATTCAGCATCAAACCATACAAGTTTTTCCAGGTTTTTCTGAAGTCTGTCTGTTCATCATTTCTTATAGGACAATGGTATTCCATTACGTTCACATACCACAACTTGTTCAGCCATTCCCCAATTGATGGCCATCCTCTCAATTTCCAATTCTTTGCCACCACAAAAAGAGCTGCTATAAATATTTTTGTACATGTGGGTCTTTTTCCCATTTGTATGATCTCTTTGGGATATAGCCCTAGAAGTGCTATTGCTGGGTCAAAGGGAGATACTTTATTGAAAATCTTTAAGGAAGCATTTTTCTCTACTATATCAAATGCTTTTAAAAATCAACAAATAAGTGAAGTAGGAACTTGTATTCTCTACATTCTTTTAGTCAGTTGTGTGATGGTAAAGATGTGAACTGCTGTAGAATACTGCTAATGAAAGTCTCTCTGTTCCTTTCTGAGGTCCTCAATGCAGGTTTAGATCATTCTTACGAAAGTTTTATATAGAAGGGAATGTGGGCATATCAATGAAGAGTTATTGATGTTCTTTTTGGGTAGCAAGAGGGTCTGAAACTTTTCTGCACTCCTTTGGTGTCTTTCCCATCAGATTACTTGAGAATTGACTTCCCTCTTTAAAATGATGTCACCTAGTACAAGACACCTCCCCTATGCATACTTAGTCTAGTACAACCAATTTTACCACCTTTGTTTTTGTGTGTGTCATTTCCACTTCCTCAGAAAGCACACTTGGGAATGCCGTGTTAGAATCCAGATGAGGTGCTCCACTGTCAAGTGTTAAAAGGGGCTGAGGTGCCCCTGAGAAAGAAAGGGTACTTAAAGACAACAAGTTAAGAGATCTTTTAAAAAACGATTTGTTGCATGCCCTTGTGTTTTAGAACTGACTGTTGCAATTCACTTTATCTCATGGGAAGAAAAAAAAAATCACATTATAATTATAGTAGTTATGATTATATAATACTTTATAAAATACATTATATATTACTTTATGTATAATATATATTTATATATACTATATGCTATATAAATACATTACATAATACTTTAAGGTCTTCAAAATGCTTTACAAATATCTCATATAATAATGATGAGGTAGCATTTACATGTCACTTTAAGGTATGCAAAGAACTTTACAATTATCTCATTTGATCCTCACAACAAACCTGGAAAGAAGGTGCTATTATTATCCCCATTTTGCAGATGTGGAAACTGAGGCACAGAGAGGTTAAGTGACTTTACTGGGATCACATGGCTAGTAGTATCTCAGACTCCATTTAAACTCTGGACTTCTTACTCCAAGTTCTATGTTCTATCCACTGTTCACCAAGCTGCCGATATTTAGTAGAGAATGGAAGGGATTAAAATTAAAATGCAGCCTTGCCAGAAGGGAATATAGAGGCCAGCAGGCTAGCTCATTCACAGAAGAGGCAGGGAGAATAGACATAAAGTTCAGAATCCAGAGGGACTAGCCAGCTGCCAAAGATACTTTATTTTTTGGAGTAGGTCTGAAGATCATTTAATAACAAGGTTATGGGCACCCGAATATCTGATCTTTTTAAGGAAAAAAACAAACCTTAGAAAAGTGTAAGGCCCAAGTCTAGGTGAGTAAATAAGAAGATGGTTTGTGGTTTTTTTTTTTGGCTTACTTGTTCACTAGCAGTAGTTGTCAGCGGCGCATCCTCTGGCCGCCCCCCCCCACCCCCACCCCCGCCCTGCACCCCCTCGCTGCCTCCCCTGTGCGCCTGGGGACACCTGCGACGTTTCTTTCGGGAGTTGGGGCTCCAGAGAACAGCCCTGCCCACGTCTCGAGCTCTGCAAGCAGCCCTCGAAAGCGAGAGTGGCTTTTTATAGCGCGCAGGTTGCTGAATCCTCTGTAACTGACCCAATGGCAAAGGTGTTTTTCAGAAGGATGACTTGGGCTAGAGAGGCTGGGCACATGTGACCTCGTGGCTTTTGCAGTAACCAAGCAGGAGCCTGGAAAGACTTCCCATCCCTCGAGTTCTTTGTGGGCCCACACCTTTCATATTTGCTTAGCTATGGCTGGACCACGTGGAGTGTTTTTATGCTTCTGGCCCACATTAAACATGAATGCCGCCTGACTTCATCTGTTTCTAACAGTCCCGCCCAATGACAGGACACCACACTTGGAAGATGAATCCTAACTAATGGAGAAAGCCCTAACCAAAGATGGAGCGCCTGTTGTCAGAGTTAACAGGATACAGAACCCAAAGCAAAAAAACAAAAAAACAAAAAAACAAACGATCATTATTCAATTTGTACTCACCGCCAAATGTACAGACATTCTCGGATCACAGATTCTCGGAATTTTCAGTGATTTCAGCAGCCATCTAGTCTGTATCTGGGCAGATAACCAAGAATTTCTGGTACTGAGTATTGACGCAAAAAACAATATAGAGAAGGGTGAAATCACTGGGGTTTAGAATCATGGAAACTTTCATGTGTAAATATACACATTTGTCAGTAACACTCAAGTAAGGTGAGTTGTACTAGGACTGGTACTCAGTTCAATCTAAGATTACATCAATTTGGATGCTCCTTCAACCAAGCGGATCAAAATCCATACACGTCCTTCCTGTACAGCTTTTGTCCATGTTTTGCCATATCTTGGGGATGGTAGTGTGTGGGACAGCGAAGACCCTTACCCAAATTAATTCAAATGCTTCTCCAGGTAGAAAGTAGAAAAGATTTTATTTCGATCTTGAGAAAGGGCGACTCACACTGAAAGGCAGTTCTTTGTAAGACCGCAGGTGGTGTCATCCGCAACTCCTCCCTAGCCCCTACCTCTTAACCCATTGGCTGGGCTTCAGAGGGCAGAATCTAAACACGGAAAAAAAAAAAAAAAAAAAAAAAAAACTACCCCAGCAACAGCAGAGGAAATTACAGAATCATTACATAGGTTGCACCTGCCTTCCACTCCTTCAAGTATCCTCTTAGTACATCCTGTTTTTGTTCATTTCAGATCCTGGAATAATTTGTGGTGGTGATTATTTTTGCAACAATTTGAACATATCCATCCAGACTATTTACAAGCTTCCTGACCTGGGCACACATATGCACATATATTATTATTAGGGGTCTTTACTTTATTTTACTTATTTAAGTTTAAATTTTATGAGGGGTCTTCACCAATCTCACTTAGTAGGCATCTAACACTCCAGGGGTCCTTCCTTGCTTTCTTCTGATATGTCCACGGTGGAGCAGGAGGGCTGTTCATTTCTCATCCTTAATCCTTACCACATGACTAGCACATCTTTTTTCTTTCATACATTCCCAGAGATCATCTTTTACTCCCCTTCTTTGAAGTTTTTCATTTGTTATACATTGCAGCCTTCTCACACACACCATATGCTTCTTTAATATCCTTTGACAACAACAATCAAAGTATAAACTGATTGAATTTGGAGGATCTTACCAAGTTCTTCAGAGTTCTCTACATCTTTCTGCAACTGATGGTAAATATGCTGCGATTATTTTCACCATGGTTTTTTTCCCCAAATACTTATCACGAGTACTACTTACACTGAAGTATAAGATGACCAAATGTCCCATGAAATGTTTCTTGTTGCCTTTAGATGAACTCTTTTATTTGTCTGTCTAAGGAGTACCTATGAGCCATTGTTCCCATTTAGCTGTGGCTTCTTTCTTCTGCTTTTGTTTTTGCTGAGAACTTCAAGACTCCAGTGAATGGTACATTCATACTCACTATCATTGGATAAGGGTCTCAGAGAAAACCAACAGCTGTAAGTTGAAGTTTGTAGATAGTCTAAAAATTGTGGTATTTCTAACTTATTTTCTACCACTCTGCCACTGTCCTCACAGTGGACAATGGCTATGAGCTGTTTTGTGTATTTCTTTGTCTCATAAGTTGCTATAGCCAAAGAGTGGATCACCAAGTAGCAAAACTAGAGATGCTGAGCCTCTCTGTACTTACCTAGGTTGGTTCTCAGAAAGCAGATACTGTTGCTAGGCAACAGGGAACAAAAAAAAAAATCAACCTTCTTTCAAACCCAGAAGAACCACAATTCCTTCTCAAAAACAGTCCAGGTAAGATACTTAAAACATTGTAGGGTTTTTTTTTCCCTTTCTTATATACACAACCATTTGCAAGCAAGGGGGCTCAGTGGATAGCTGGACCTGGAGTCAGTAAGACCTGAGCTCAAATCTGGTCTCGGATATTTACTGGCTATGCGACCGTGAACAAGTCACTTGGCTGGTTTGCCTCGGTTTCCTCATCTTTAAAATGGGGAACCATTGGTAAAGATAGACATCTATGTCTTCAGGTTGTTGTGAGGATAAAATGAGACGACCATGTATAAACCTTAAAGTAGTTTATAGATGCTAGCTATGATGATGATAATAATGATGATGATGGTCTCTGTGAGTTTTCCCTCTAATTTGTCTATTTTCAAGTCTCTGTAGGACCCATTTACCAATTATTTCAAGTCCTTTAACTCCTTAAATATTTCCTTTTTTTTTTTTTTTAAGATAAAAGTCAGTGTGGCCAGATTCTGAACTTGTAATAGCTAAGTTTCTTTTCACTTTGTATACGTCCCCTTCCCCATACACACACCTTTTCCTCCAAGATCTGAGGGATAATTGAGGGATAATTTTGTTCTTGTAAAATACAATCTCTGTGATTAGATCTCAAAAATTTTGCAAGTATGTTTCTCAAGGTCTTACCTGGAGGACTGCTCTTTTCTAAAAAAAAAAAATAGCCTCATCCTGTTTAGAGTTTGTTTATGTTCCAGAAATTTAAAATTATTACTATAATGATAGTTTATACATCTCCAGCTGATAACTGGGTGACCTAGAGCAAGTCAGTTTCCTCTTCTGTATGTGGCAACCTCCCAATATAACATCTGTTAAACTGTATATTTCCAAACTGAGCTTTATGTGCAAAGCTGAATAACCCCAAGCTTAACTACCATGAAGAATAACCATAAGGGTCCTGATTGGTAATGAATTCTAGCGTCACTTTTAAAAGAGCAAAGAATGATTTTCACCCATCAGGCTTTCTGATGTTCTGTCCTTTGGAGCTGTTTTCCTTGCTGACTGTTACTCTTGGGGTGCAAAGGCATCTAACTTCATGAGTAGTGCACTGGGGAACCCCAGGCCAACCTATGTAAGTCTATATTGCCAGTGGATGGCCAGTTAAACACTTTGTTTCCTTAGAAGTAGAGTCACAGTAAAAATATGGCTTTGTACTGGTTTCAGTATGTTAATGATGGACAAGGTTATTCCACTGGGAGAACCACGTCCCCCAGTGCTTATAGTTATAAAAAAAATTTAGCTGAATTCAATTGAATGACATGCTAAAATGTTTGGACATCATCCTACATATGTCAGGAAGTCATCAAAAGCTTTTGAAAAAAATTTATATAAAGAGTCTTTTAAGGTCAGTTTGGCGGAAATGGTTGACTGTTCAGATTCAAATAGTAGTCATTAATAGTTCAATGTCAATTTGGCAGGTGTTTAGTGGAGTGTCTCAGATATCTGCGCTTGGCCCTGTGCTATTTGTCTTAGATAAGGCATAGATGGGGACAGCTAGGTGGCGCAGCGGATAAAGCACCGGCCCTGGATTCAAGAGGACATAAGTTCAAATCCGGCCTCAGACACATAATACTTACAAGCCGTGTGACCTTGGGCAAGTCACTTAACCCCATTGCCTAGCCGCATCCCCCCCCCCAGAAAAGAAAAGATAAGGCATAGATGGAATATTTATCAGATTTTCAGATATTGCAGAGCTGGAAGGGATAACTAAGAAACTGCATGACAGTGTCAGGTTCAAAAAACAGTTCAACAGCATGCACACTGGAGTTGAATCAAAACCTCTTGTATCTCCTTCCCCACTCACAGCCACCATCCTAATTTAGATTATCTAATTAACTATCTCTTGCCTGAACTATTGTAATAGCCTCCTAACTGGTCTCCCTGCCTCAAGTCTCTTCCCTTTTCAATCCATCTTTCCCCTCAGCTGCTAAAATGATGCTCCTAAAATGCAGGTCAGACTATGCCACTCTTCTGCTCAATGGCTTCTATCTATTGACTCAAGGAGAAAATATGAACCCTTTACTTTGGAGTTTAAGACCCATCAGGTTCTAGCCTGCTAAACTGACCTGATCTCATATCATTCCCTCTGGCATAGTCTACCTTATGACTAAGCTGATCTACGTGCTGTTCCCTGCATATGGTATCTATTTCTCACCCTCGTGACTTTGGTCAGGCTCTCCCTCCTTCCCTTTAATACTCCCCCTCCTCATCTACACTTTACAGAACTCCCCTAGCTCCTGTCATGGCTCAGATCAGGTGCCCCCTTCCAAAGGAGGCCTCTTCTGATCTGCCCTCCCCCAAAATCACTTGGTATTTACCCTGCACGTGCTTTGTATAGTTTTATGTGTACACAATTTGTCTTCTCCAGCAGAACATAAGTGCCTTCAGAACACTGTATATACACTGTCAAGTGTGATCTCTGGATCAAGATGTTTTTGCTCCATTTTGTCATAAGGGAGGGTTCAATTTGGAGGGAGGATGAATGGAAAATAACTGTGAAGTAAAGAAAGTCTCAATAAAACAATAAACTCCTTGAGGTTTGGGACTGGTGTGTGTTTGTGTGTATGGAAGGTGGCCATAACAGCTAGGGCACATCTCATTTACTTACAGGCACCCTAATGTCTGAGAGGCAAACCACCCTTCTATAAGGCAAAGGCCCACCTGAGGAAAAATACACCACAAACTAGGATCCAGGACCTATACGTTGGGTTGCCTCCTTAGCCAGTGCTGAATGTGCATTAAACCCACAGTTGTAAACTGTGTAAACTCTAAACCTCTTCTTAGTTCAAGAAATTAGTACATTAAGGGAGAATACTAAGAAATGATGTAGTTTCATCTTTAGCCTGGTAGAACTACTAGCCTTTTCAGATTCATAATGTTGAACTTCAACCTCAGTCATGGGGGCTGGTCAATTCTTTCATTTCTTTTTTGGTTTCCTTAATCCTGGTAGTTATTCCAGAACTTGTCATTTTCCCCTAGACCCTCTAACATCTTTCCATCATCCTCTTCAGTGGAACAGCCACATGGCCATGCCTTAGACAGTCCCAGAAGACTGGGACCACCTGATCTGAGATCTCTCATGTTTCTTTCCCCAAAGACTTGATCACCCACACTCCTGGAATATATCTGGGTAGTACCGGAAGTACACTGGGGGCTCCTGGATCCCATTCACAGAAGCCTGTGGCAGAGGCTGTACAGCAGCTCTCCCACTCTGCCTCTTCTCAGTGCCAGACCGGTGGACCCACTGGTGGGCTTCAAGACCGTACTTCCGCTTAAAACACTTCCCACACTCAGTGCAGGGGAAGGGACGCTCATCAGAATGCATTCGCCGGTGGCTGACCAGTAGAGAAGAATAGGTGAAACAGACCCCGCATTCAGGACAAGGGTAGGGCTTCTCGCCTGTGTGTTTACGTCGATGGATGGCCAGGGAGCCACTCTGCCGAAAGCATCGCCCACAGTCAGGACAGGAATAGGGTTTCTCACCCGTGTGGATGAGCTGGTGCTGGACAAGATTCTCCCGGCGGGCAAAACGTGCCCCACACTGTAGACAGGGGTAAGGGCGTTCGCCAGAGTGGACATGCTGGTGACTGACCAGTAGGGAAGGATAGGCAAAGCAGCGCCCACAGTCAGGGCAGGAGTATGGCTTCTCACCTGTGTGGGTTCGCTGGTGGATCACCAAGAGGGAGGGATAAGCAAATCGGCGCCCACAGTCAGAACAGGGGTATGGTTTATCACCCGTGTGTGCCCGACGGTGGATCGCCAGAGTGGACCTCTGGCGGAAGCACCGCCCACAGTCAGGACAGGGATAGGGCTTCTCACCTGTGTGGAGGAGCTGGTGTTGGACAAGATTATTCCTTTGGGAAAATCTGGCTCCACAATGAGTGCAGGCATAGGGGCGTTCCCCTGTATGCACCCGTAGATGGCTGATGAGCAAGGAGGGATAGGCAAAGCAGCGCCCACAGTCAGGACAGGAGTAGGGCTTTTCACCTGTGTGTGTACGCTGGTGGATGGCCAGGGACCCACTTTGCCGGAAACAGCGACCACAGTCTGGGCACAGAAAGGGCTTCTCCCCTGTATGGATGAGCTGGTGTTGGATGAGGTTTTTCCGTTGTGAAAATTGCGCCCCACATCGTGCACAGACAAAAGGACGTTCCCCAGAGTGCACACGCAGATGACTGTCCAGTAAAGAAGGAAATGCAAAATGGTGTCCACATTCAGGACAAGGGTAAGGCCTCTTCAGATTGGGGATACATTGGTGGAGAGTGCCTCTATCACCCTGGTGGAAGGCATGTGGTATCTCAGTTGGCAAAACCTCCTTTACAGACTCTTCAGTTTCCTGGAATCCAGTCCCTTCTCTCCACCTCTTCTCCTTGTTCTGTTTTCCAGATGCTGCTAAGAATTGAAGAGAATTTTTAACTAAAAATCAGGCACGTTCTATCCTGTCCTAATATTGTTATGGGGATGGCACACTCCTCCCACTGGAATTAGAGGAAGGGTCCCCCCCAGCCACTGGTTTCATTGAAGGAGATTTTCCAAGCTCTTGGAGCTAACTTTTTGCCCTATTCCTAGGGTCTGAAGACCACCCTCATTAGCAAGGGCCAGTTTTGGCTTGATATTGTCCACAGAGACATAAGAAACTATTTCACCCTTCAGTGGCTGCTCCTAATCAAGGCCAAGATTCTACCACTAAGCCTAGCTACCATTGGTTCAAAGGAGGTGGAAAGGAGAAGAAGAAGGAAGAGTTGACCCTTAGGGAGAAGCTGGAGACTATCCTTTTGATATTTTAAACTTATATTTTCTTTATGAAGATAGAGCTAGAGATTCATAAAAACTGCAGCTGGAGAGAGAATGGCAAAATCAAATTATTACCCCTGTGCAAACAGGTCTCTTATTTAATACTGATAAACCAGGGAATTAAATGGGAATAACAATGCTAGTAATACCTTCCTCACAGGCAGTGTGGTACAATGAAAAACAAAATTGGCTCTGGGGTCTGAGGACCTCGATTCAAATTCTACTTCCTGCCGTTTACTAACCACATGACCTAAATCTGTAAAATGAAGGGATTGGACAAGATGGTCTCTAAGATTTCTTCCAGCTCCAAATCTCTATGTTCCTATGATTTGTCATAAGGCTCAAATGAGACCATGTGTGCTAAAGTGCTTTAGTGATATGTAAATGTCTGATATCATTATTATGAGAGAGGTACCATGGTTGGTGGATAGAGGGCTGGCCTTCAGTCAAATAGATCTGGGTTCAAGACCCAACTCCAACACATACTTGCCTACATACCCATGAGCATATAACCTGACATAGCCTATTTTATTCTATAAATTGCAGTGCAGGTATTGACCTCCACTGGTGGAATGAGTCTACTTCACCAATGAAATAACAGGGCCAGGCATAATAAACTTATTACCATACTTGTTTGAGGTAACAAAAATGAGCAGCCAATACAGTGCTACCTGCCCTAGGCCTATGATAATAGAGTAGATGCTGTGGCTGTTCAGAGGATGCCCCAGTGGACTTGTCCAGGGCTGGAACTAACTGTAAAAGGGAACCAAAAATGTCAGAGCCCCGCAAGAGGTCTGTAGTCTGGAAGGCAGAAGTTGACCTGGGCGGGTGTACAAACAGATACCTGCACAGAGGGTCCTTGCTAGGGGAGGGGAGGGCTCAGCAGACTAGGGCTTCTCCCGGGTCTGAGCGAGTTCCAGTTCGGGGCGGAGGGGAGGTGCATGGTGGTCTCCACTCTCACCTGTGCATTCTTCCCTCGGGCTCTCCTTTTCCTCGTCGGGGTCCCGGGCATCCGCACCCCAGACCTCTGACTCTTGCTCTACCCAGGAGATGAGGGCGGGTTTGGGGCCTTGGAAACCTGGAAGGAGAACAGGGGTCGCGTCTGATGGGTGAGACCCCCACGCTGCACCCCCCGCCCCCGCCCCGGCCCGCCCCGGCCGCGCCCCTCACCCAGCGCGCCCAGGTGGCCATAAGTCTCCCGCATGACGTCCCTGTACAGGGCCCTCTGCGCGGGGCGCAGCCGTCCCCACTCCTCCGGGGAGAAGTACACGGCCACATCGGCGAAGCTCACGGGGCCCCTGGCCCCCCGCCCGGGCCCAGCCTCGTTCATCGCGCGCGCTGCCTCCCCGGGGGGCCCGCGCCACCTCCCCTGAGCGCCCGGGGACACCCGCGTCGGGGCTCCCGAGAGCAGCCCCGCCCACGCCTCGAACTCCGTGAGCGGAGCGGCCCGGCCCACTCGGGAGCGGGAGGAGCCGAGGGGACCGGAAGTGGCAACGTGCACACCCCGAGCGGAGACGTCTGGGTGGCTCAGATAAAGGAGAACAGGACCGGGGGCAGCAGGCACGCGGGGGTCCTGAGGGCGCCGCATCGCCCTCGGGGTCGGTAGGCTACAAATGCCCCAGGTGGCATTTTGTCTTCAAGCTACAAGTATTTATTAGGCGCCTACAATGCGCAGGTACTGTGCTCGGCATTGGCGATCCAAATACAAAAATGAAACAGCTCCTGCCTTCAAGGGGCTTACAGTCTATTGGGGATAACTTAAAAATTCGTGCAAAACATATACAAAATAAATTCAGTCGTTTGCAGTCGTGCTCGACTCTGTGACCCCATTTGGGGTTTTCTTGGCAAAGATACTTAAGTAGTTTGCCATTTCCTTCTCCAGCTCATTTTACAGATGAGAGTTTTAAGATCTGTCCAGGGTCACACAGCTAACCAGTGTTTGAGGTTAGGAAGATTAGTCTCCTGACTCCAGGCCCAGCACTGAATCTACTGTGCCACCTAGCTGTACTACAAAATAAATACAAGGTAATTTTTTTCCGGGGGTTGGAGGGGAGGTATTAGCTTCAGGAGAAGGGAGGAAAGGAGGACGGACCTCCAGAAGGAAGTGGGACTGCAGCTAAGCTTTGAAGAAAGCTTGAAATTCCAAAAGGCAGAGGTGAGGAATAAGTTTATTCCTGTCATGGGGGGCAACCTGTGCACAGAGATGGGAGATAGTTTACTGGAAGGAACAGCAAGAAAGCCACTTTTTCTGGACCTTAGAATGCATGGGACTGGGGGGAGGGAATGACGTAAAGTCATTCGGACAGTTAGGCTGGAGCCAGATAATGGAGTTCCTTCTAGAGTCAGTAGGGAGACATTGAAGCTTCTTGAGTAGAACAAATGGCATGGTCTGACTTGTAATTCAGGAATATCACTTTGGAGGCTGTGGGGAGAGTAGATTAGAAAGGAGGAAGATTGGAGTCAGGGAGAGCAATGAGAAGACTTGCAATAATTCAGGTGAGAGGTAATAAGGATCTGTGTAGAGAAGGACGGATGGAAGAGATTTTGTAGAGGTGAGATGGGCAAGACTTGGCAACCCTTGAGTATGTATGGTTGGGGGGATGGCTCCAGGGTTGCTAACCTGGATGACTAAAAAGATGGTGTCTTTAACAGAAATAGGAAATTTTGGAAGTGTGGTGGATTTTTGATGGAAAGATGAGTTCTTTTTTGAACGTGTAAGTTTGAGGAGTCTATTAGGACATTCGGCTCAAAATGATTAGTGATTCAGAGGCAGCCCCTATCTACTTTGCAACGCCGCCTCTGCAAAGTAAATAACTTGCTTTTAAAACAGTATGGTTTTTCTTTTCTGCAAAGAATAGAAACTGCAGGTTTGGGAAGGAGAGTTGCCTGGGGTTAACATAAAGGAAATATCCAACCACAGCAGAACAATTAAAAAGAGAATTGCTTTCTTTATAAGAAACATTCCAAAAGATGACAGAGAAGTAAACATAGGAAACAAGAGACATACCAGAGATAGCATGGACAGTGAACTTGCAGGATCAATTCATGGGGGAAGTGATGCCAGCCTCTTGGGAGGAAAGTGCCCGATTTCAACACTTCAGAGGCCATTCAGCTTACTCACAGAGCTCCAGCCCTCATCTGCCAATTAGCTGGAGTTATCTTGGCAGGACTAGGGGGTGGAGGCCCAACACTGGACATTAAGTGAGATGGTTCAGTTTCCCTTTCTGTGACTTTGATACAGACAGGAGGATGTTTGGAATTATTTTTCTACCAACATCTCTGGGGACCTCCTCTTACTCTTTGAGGGCCGGGAGACACATCAGAGAAGAGGGTAGGTGGGGAGGAGTTTGTAGGTGCCAGCTTTTCAGAGTGCCTTTAGAGTTGTACTTTGCTAGCTCTGGCTTCATTTAATCCTTTCAGGTCCCACAAATTATTCTATAATTGATATTTATATAGTCCTTTAAAGCTTATAAAGCAATTTATATGCATTAGCTCATTTGAGCCTCACAGCTCCTCAAGGTTATCATTCTCATTTTACAGATAAAATGAGAATATTTGTGAAGCACTTAACACAGTGCCTGGCATGTAGTAGGTGCTATATAAATGCTTATTCCCTTCCCTTTATAAATGGGAAAATTGAGACTGAATTCATTCTCAACCAAAACCCAGATACTTTGTATATGATAGAAGTGGTTCAGATTGAGATGCCGGAGGTTTTGAGTCTAGGGGAGCAGCAAGATAGTATCACTCACAATCAATACCTTTTTGATACTTACTCTGCAATCTCTTTTCCATTTCTACTCTGATCTGTCTTATCCGCTGGACTTAATTTCCAAGGTCAGGTAGACCTTGTTTCTCTCCTGCTCCAATCCCTCTTTAATTATCCTTATCAGAATAAGCTTAGAGAAATTCCATTTTGAAACCATCCCCTTGGTCAAGGTCTTCTGAACAACACACACTTTCTTATGTCTGTTCAGGTGTTTTTCTCATTTCTCTTCTTTTTACCTATTCAGGTCCTTTCTATTCTTCCAGGTGTAATTTATCCTAGTTGGATGATTCCTTCCCATCAGGCCCACGGTAATGACTCCTTCCTCTGAACTAGGGGTTTATTTTGCCATAGGCAATTAATCATGGAACTGCTTTCTGAAATACATTATTTAGTTGTTACATTGCATTTTTACCTTCCACATATTTGTATCTTTCTTCCTAACTAGATTCTAAGATCCATGAATGGATCACATGATCAATGATCACACCTTTCTATCCATCAAGGCACCTTTCATCCTTACTCATTTATAACAACAACTTACATTTATATAGTGCTTTACACTTAACGAAGGATTTAGCAGATTCTCTATCAATGTTTGCCGATTCTGATTTAAATTTTAGACTGTGTTACTGAGTAATGCATCATAATATGGTAGTCACTAGGTTAAGCTCCCAAATGAAAGGCTGCTTGGCTGAAGCCAGGTCATTTTTTCTTTTTACTTGACTTAATTCTTCATGGGTTTAAGAAACTTGACTTTTTATCCATGCTTACACATATAGTCAGAGACACGATGTGTTTCAAGGCCTCAACGCCTTCCCTTCAGGGCCTGGCTCAGCACCTCCCTTGACAGTTTCCCTTTTGTCTTTTCAATCAAGGTCACCCACATTCTTGGAAGATAACTGGGTAGTATTTAAACCCTACAGGGAGATCTGGGTCAAAAAACCTTGGCCCCAATGCTGCTGACAGAGGCCCAACGGGATTCTTTTAGGCAGTTTGATCGATCTGCTGGTGTTTGGTTAAGGATGAACTGTCCAAAAAGTGCTTCTCACATTCAGGGCAGGGATTCCCAGTATGGGTGTGCCAGTGGACAGCCAGGGACCCACTCTGCCAAAAGCGATGTCCACAGTCAGGGCAATGGTAGGGTTTCTCCCCAGTGTGGAGAAGCTGGCATTGGACAAGGTTCTCTTGATGATAGAATCGAGCCCGACGCTGTGCACAAGCAAATGGGCGATTCCCAGAGTGAACATGCTGGCAGCAGATCAGGTTGCCTGGACTCTGAATGTGTCCACAGTCAACACAGGCATAAAGATGAACACCAGAGTGCCCCTGCCAGTGGCTGATGAATTGGGCAGAATTGGTGAAGCAGTGCCCACAGTCAGGACAAGGGTAGAGATGTTTATGATTGTGCGTATACGGAGTGCCATGACTGAGGGTTTTCAGAATGTCCTGCCACAGTCTGAGCAGATGGCAATGCCCGTCTCCTTCTTGAGGCATGGCCAGGGCCTTGGCAGCTCTAAGGGCCTGTCAGATGTTGCTTCCTTCTGCTTGGTTTGAAGATCTGGAGATAGCTTCCTCTGAGGAACAATGAAAGGCTCCTCAACCTCAGATCCTTCTCTCTCTCTGTTCTTTTTCTCACTTCTGGCTCCTGCAGGGAGATAAGGAAAAGATAAAACTCAAAAATATAGCCCATTTTATTTCATTACATCTCTTCCTGCACTGGTGAGGTAACAGGTACTCCATTTGTAATAGTAGCAGGAATGCCTGGGTGTGAAGGGGACAAAGTCAATGGTTGTTTTTTTTTTTTTTGTCTTGAGAACAGCATAGGAAACTTCAAATCCCTGTAGCAGACACAGAGTTTGGAACTAGGGCAAGCAGACTGGGTTCTCTGCTGGTTACATGGACACAAAGGATACTTTTACCCTAGGGCATCTGCTTCTCTGGCAAGGCCAGATCACACTCAACCAATCAACAAGCACTTATTAAGCACCTTCTGACATTAGGAGGCAAAATTGGGACTGTCTCCAGCAGCCCTGGAGGAGAATCGGAGAACATATTCTTTTAACAACTAATGAACATACAGCTGTGGGGACATTTTGGGGATTCACTGGAACCGTGAGAAATACAGCTGGACAGACTGCAAAGGCCACTGATTTTGACTTGTTTTTGCAAATTTATTTCATCAGGTATTTTGAAAAGGAGGGGTCTTGCAGGGAGAGTATACAGCTGGAGAAATTTTTTTTAATTAGCAACCAGTACTATGCTCTGCTTAGTTAGAAGGCTAGGGTTCAGATTGTGAATTGATTTGATCAAGATCCTCTAGTGCATAAGTGCTGGACCGAGGACTCAAACCCAGGTGTCTAACTCCAAGTCTGGTGTTCATTCCATTAGACCTCAGTGTCTCAAAAAACTGGCATGGAAAAAATGGAAGTCCTTGTTCCAAGGCAAAACCCAAAATGTTGGTATTTGTACTGAGAAAATGGGAATCTCTTCATGCTATGAAGGGAAACTACATCCAATGATAGTATAGTATGAGAAAGGTGAAGAGGGTAAAGAAATGGAATTATCCTCTATAGCCAACCTTTTTTTGGGGGGGGGGGTCAAAAAGAGGGGAAAATTGGCAGAGAGCTTTTCAATTGAGGTTATTAGGGCACTAACTATATAGTTCACCAACATTATGGGCTGGATGGTCTCCTACTGTGCTGTAAAAAATGATGAGTTGGTTGATTTTAGAAAAACATGGAAAGACTTGTATGAAATAAAGAATGAAATGAGCAGAAGCAAGAAAATGTTGTACACAGTAACAGCAATGTTGTTTTAAGAACAACTTTAGACAACTAAGTCATTTTGAATATTATAAATACTCAAATCAACTATAGAGGACCTATGAAGAAAGATGCTGTCCACATCCAGAGAAAGAACTGATAAGTAGAAGTATGTACAAGATAGTTTTACAAACACACACACACACACACACACACACACACAAAGTGTCTAAGGGTAGCCTTTTCTAGGGTGGGGTGGGGGGAAGGAAAAAAAAGCCCAGCAGAGAACAAGAGAAAACTTAGAAGGAAACACAGAAAAGCAGTGTAGCTTTGAAAACAATGTCTAGTATTTATTATATAGTTTTTTAAAAGTATGAAATGGAAAAAAAAAATTGTGGGCTGAGTAGGCTTCTGTGGCCCATCTGGGAACTTAGCTCCATTTATAACAACATGTTGAAAGGCTGTTTAGAGTTCCAAATAATATATTTACAGATGACATTTTAAGATGGGAACTGTTAAAAGAATAAGTTAGATAGCATGTCTGGAGTGGGGTATGTTGTTATTGTGCTAATAGAAAAGATAAAAGAAAAAAAGAATCTAAGTTAAGGAGGGTTAAGAAAGCAATGGTTTGATAACATTGATTTAGAACAGTTTAAAAATTTTGTTTTGTTGGTGGTAGGGGAGAGAGCTGGGAGATAGGCAAAAATTTGGAGTCTAGAAAGCCATCTTCCCAGAACTGGTGAGGACATCTGGGGCTAAGCCTTTTTTTTTTTTTAAACATACATAGGTCTATCTTTATTGTATGATTATACCAATCAATCAAATGATCAGTCAATAAAAATTTATTGTGCACTTATTATGTGTAAGGAATTGTGATAAACTCTGGAGATACAAAGAAAGGTAAAAACAGTTGCTGGCCTTGATCAATTTTTCTAGGGGTGAGGGGGAAGAAGATGTAGGAGGACCGAGAGATCCTCTTAGGCCCCCCCTTTCTAAAAAATTTTTTATAAATTTATTTTGTTAAATAGTTCCCAATTACATGTAAATTTTTTTAATGTTCAGTTTTTAAAAAATTGAGTTCCAAACTCTCTCCTTCCCACCCATAAGGCAAGCAATATGATATTGATCATACGTGTGATGTCATATAAAATATATTTACTTATTAGCCTTGTTGCTAAAGAATATACACACAAAAAAAAACAAGGAAAATAAAGAAAACAAAAGTATGCTTCAGTTTGCACTCAGAGTTCATCAGTTCTCTCTCTGAAGGTGGATACCATTCATTTTTCATCATGGGTCCTATGGAGTTGTCTTGGATCACTGTCTTGATCAGAGTAGCTAAGTTTTTCACAGTTGATCATCCTTACAATATTATTGTTACTGTGTACAATGTTCTCCTGGTTCTACTTACTTCACTCTGCATCAGTTCCTGTTAAGTCTTGCCAGGTTTTTCTGAAAGCATCTTGCTTGTCATTTCTTATAGCACAATAGTATTCCATCACAATCATATACCACAATTTATTCAGGCATTCCCTAAGTGATGGGAATCCCTTCAATTTCCAATTTTTTGCCACCACAAAAAGAGCTGCTATAAATATTTTTGTATAAATAGTTCCTTTTCCCTATTCTTTGATCTCTCTCTGGGATACAGACCTAGTAGCAGTATTGCTGGGTCAAAGGTGGTACACAGTTTTATAGCCCTTTGGACATAGTTCCAAATTGTTCTCCAGAATGATTGGATCAGTTCACAACTCCAGTAGTGCATTAATGTCCCGATTTTCCACATTCCTTCCCACATGTTATCTTCCTTTTATGTCATGTTAGCCAATCTGATAGGTGTGAGGTGGTATCTCAGAGTTGTTTTAATTTGCATTCTCTAATCAATAATGATTTAAAGCATTTTTTCATGTGACTATTGATAGCTTTGTTGTCTTTTGAAAACTGCCCGTTCATATCCTTTGACTGTTTGTCAGCTGAGGATATTTTTATAAATTTGGCTCAGTTCCCTAAATATTTGAGAAATGAGGCCTTTATCAGAGAAATTTACTGTAAATTTCCCCCCAGTTTCCTGTTTTCTTTCTAATTATGGCTGCACTAGTTTTGTTTGTGCAAAAAAATTTTAATTTCATGTAATCAAAATTATCAAATTCCCATGATGGTGTTTATCTCGTTTGGTCATAAATTCTTCCCATATCCATAGATCTGACAGGTACATTTTTCCACGTTCCCCTAACTTACTTATAATGCCCTTTATTTCTAAATCATTTACCAACTTTTTTTTTTTTAAGGCAATTGGGGTTAAATGTGTCTGAAGCCGGATTTAAACTCAGATCTTCCTGACTCCAGGGCTGGTGCTCTATCCACTAGATCATTTACCAATTTTGACCTTATTTTGGCATATGGTGTGAGATGTTGGTTTATGCCTAGTTTCTGCCAAACTGCTTTCCAGTTTTCCCAGCAATTTTTGTCAAATGGTTAGTTCTTAAACTAAAAGCTTGTATCACTGGGTTTATCAAACACTAGGTTACAGTGGTCATTTGCTACTATGTATTTTGTATTTAATCTATTCCACTGACCTAACACTCTATTTCTTAGTCAATAACAGATTATTTTGGTGATTATTGTTTTGTAATATACTTTGAAATCTGGTACTGCTAGGACATCTTCCTTCACCTTTTTTTCCATTGGTTCTCTTGATACTCTTTTTTTAAAAATTTTTTTATTAATTTATTTTGATATATCAACAATCACTTCCATATGCTTTTGAGTTTAAAATTTTTCTCCCCCTTCCGCCCCACCACCCTCCCCAAGACGGCGCACAATCTGATATAGGCTATACATATGTATTCCTATTAAACATATTTTTACATCAGTGATGTTGTAAGTAAAAATTAGAACCAATAGAAGGAACCACCAGAAAGAAGAAACAAAACTCAACAGAAGAGAAAAAAAATAGCACTTCAAATTCCCTAGTTCTTTCTTTGGATGTGGATAGCATTTTCCATCACGAGGCCTTTGGAGATGTCTTAGATCTTTGTATTGCTGAATGATTCTCTTGGTATTCTTGACCTTTTTTTCCTTTCAGATGAATTTTGCCATTATTTTTTCTAGCTCTATAAAATAATTCTTTGGAAGTTTGATTGGTATGGCACTGAATAAGTAAATTAACTTAGGCAGAATTGTCATTTTTATAATATTGGCTTGGCTTACTCATGAGCAATTAAGATTTCTCCAACTGTTAAAATCTGTCTTTATTTGTGTGAAAAGTGTTTTGTAACTGTGTTCATATAGTCCCTGGGTTTGTCTTGGCTGGTAGACACTTAAGTATTTTATATTGTCTACAGTTATTTTAAAAGGAATTTTTCTTTCTATCTCTTCCTGTTGGGTTTTGTTTGTAGTATATAGAAATGCTGATGATTTATGTGGGTATATTTTATATCCTGCAACTTCGCTAAGGTTGTAATTGTTTCAACTAGTTTTTCAGTTGTTTCTCTAAGTATACCATTTTAACATCTGGAAAGAGTGATAGTTTTGTTTCCTCATTGCCCATTTTTATTTCTCCAATTTATTTTTCTTGTCTTATTGCTATATCTAGCATTTCTAATACAATATTGAAAAATAGTGGTGAAGGATGAGCCTTTAAAAAGACCCTGTAAATCTCTATTTTGTACCACTTAGCTTTTTAAAAAAACATATTAAATTTAATACTAACAGTGCCCTGCTTGTCTATATCTCTTTCTGCTCTCTTCTATTTAAAAAAATTTCACTGATGCTCTATTCTTTCCTTTTTACATCATTCCTAATCTACAACTCTCTATCCTTAACCCCTCCATAAAAGCCTTCCTTTGTAAAAATAATATAATCAAGCAAAACAATTTCACACATTAGTAGTGTCAGAAAATGTCCCATTCTACACCTATATCCCACCATCTCTTCGCCAAGAAGTAGGAGGCACTCTTAGCCATGAGAGGAGAAACTGAGGATGAAATTGAGGCTTTGAAGACACCGTTATGATCTGATGGAAAGAATACTCAGTTTGAATCCCAGCTCTGTCACTTATTGGCAGGGTGGTCTTGGGTCAGTCACTTCATTTCCCTGGGTCAAAGTTTCCTAATCTGTAAAAAGAGAGAGAGTTGGACCAGATGGCTTCTAAGGTCCTTCCAACTCTGCACCTGGGATCCTATACACAGGGGTGGAAAGAATGAGAAAAAGGGCCAGGTAAAAGTACCTTTTGTTTATTAGCTTCAGGATATCTATGTGTATATTTTAAATTCAGCTTTGACACTTAGCTTGGCGCTGGGGAGCTGCAGAATTTGGTGGGAGAGCTATCAGGAGAAGCAAGTCAAAAAATGAAGCATCAGCAAATTCTGGAGCAACAAACAAGGGAATCATGGTAGCAAAGATTCACAACAGTACTTGTAGAGAAAAAGAGGTTAATAAATGTCTGTTAGAAATAGCCTCCAGAGGAAGATTCCCAAGATCCCACTTGAGGCAAATGAATAAAGAATCATAAAGGCAGCAATAGCTGTTTAAAACAGTTGAGATGGGGGTGGGTGTGTTGGGGTGGTTTACACATAATGGCTATCTCTAACTGCCTGAAGGGCTTCACATGGAAGGAGGAGTACACGTATTCTGACTGACCCCAAAGGACAGCATTAGGAGGTATAGGTTGAAGTTGGAGAAAGATATAGGCTCAGTGTAAGGAAAACTTCAAATAATGAGAGTAATCTAAGAATTCAATGGACTATCTTGGGATGTAATTAAGTTCCCTATCAAGCAGAAGATGGATGATCACTGGTGAGAGATATCAAAGAACGGATTACTGTTCCAGCATGGATTTGACTAGGGCACTGCTGAGGTCCTTTCTAGCTCTGAGAAAATGTGGCCAGGCATTTGTGCACCTGGGGCAAGGTAGAAGAATTCTGGGGTTTTTTAGAGAATGGTGTATCTGAGAAGGGTATGTATGGCAGTAATAGGAAGCAGTGGGGTAGCCTCTCCTTCACAAATTCATCCAAACTTGGGAACTCTGATCAACACAATGACCAACCACAACTCCTGAGGACTCCTGAAGAAACATGCTGCCTACTCTCTGACAGAGAGGTGATGGACTCAGAGCACAGAATGAGACATCCTTTTTCAGACGTGGTCAATGAGAAATTTTCTTTTGCTCAATTATATGTTTGTCCGAGGGGTTTTGTTTTTCTTGCTTTCTCAGTGGGGAGAAGGGAAGGAAAGTGAAAGAGAAGGCTGATCTTTATTTGAAAATAAAATTTAAATAAAAAAAGATAATTGTTTATTTGAGCTTTTACTGTCACATGTGTTATTTGAATTATTACAGGTAAGTCCCTATATACCATAAAGCGTGGGGTTTTTAATGTGTTTTTAATATTATCTGGTTTTATTAGATATTAAAATTATAAAATATGTTAAAGCATCTTCTATCTTTTCCCTCATTCTTGCCCATATCAACTCACATAGCTGCCTACCATCCTCCTGTCCTGGCTATGATATAATGCAGTGATATCCACAGGAGGCAAGGCAACTTATGTAGAACCTAGGAGTGTAGGAGAGGCAGCTAAGCACTACATCATCTCTTACATCTGTAGGGAGGTGGCTTCAATAGAAGCCACAGGAGGCCTGTAATCTTGCAGAGAGAACTTTTTCTGGGGAGAGGATCCAGGGGTAGCTTAAAAGATCAGATCCTTAAAGGGTAAGAAGGCAAAAAAAAAAAAAAATCTTCCAATGAGGTCTGGCTCAGAAGATCTCTCCAAAGAACTAAACCTAGGAGTTCAAATGTAATACTCTTTCCTTACCTCTACAGGTTCTTGAACAATTCCTTTTCTCCTCAGAATCTTGGGCTTCTAGGCCCCACATCTCTGTTTCTTGTTGCATCCAGGAGATGAGGACAGGTTTAGGGGACTGGAAATCCTAGGGGAACAGAAAATATGCAATGATCTTCAAGTTCTAAGATTAAAACTTGATGGAAGGTTAAATCCCCCTACTGGCATGAGGTAGTACTCCCACATTTCCATCCCAGAGTCCTCTGCTTCCTCCCTTCCACACAGACAAGAATGCCTCTCTTCTTTAGCCTTGGGTCAGAAGCATGGAGAATGTCATTCATTAGTAAAGCTAGAAGGGATATCATAGGAGGAAACTAACAACCAGATAGGGGAAAAAACTGTCTATGGTAATACTAGCAGTTATCAATTACATAGTGCTTTAAGGTTTATAAAACAGCTCAAATTCATGTTGAACCTCTGAGGGGGAAGCTAAATGGTACAGTAGAAGGAATGCTGGATTTGGAGTCAAGAAGATCTGAGTGCAAATCTTGCCTTTGATACTTACTAGCTATGTGGCTCTGGGCAAGTCGTTTAACCTTTTGGCCTCAGTTTCCCCACCTGGGAAAACGAAGAAAATAATAGCACCAATCTTATACAGTAGTTGTGAGGAAATAAATAGGCACCTTAGTGGAACAGTGGATAGAGTGCCTGGCCTGAGGTCAGGAAGACCTGAGTTCAAATGCAGCCTGAGACACTTATTACTTGTGTGACCCTGGGGCAAGTTACTTAATTTTGTTTGCCTCAGTTCCTCATCTGTAAAATGAGCTGGAAAAGGAAATGACCAACTACTCTATTATCTCTGCCAAGAAAACCCCAAATGGGGTCATGAAAAGCTGGATATGACTCAACAACAACAATAAAACCAAACTGCTAGTTATTATATTGCTAATATATAATAATAGCTAACAGTTATATAACACTTTAATGTTTGCAAAATGCTTGAGAAATATTATCTCTTTTGTCCTCACAACACTGGGTACTATCTTAACTTTCCAGAGGAGGAAACTGAGGCTGGTAATGATTAAGTGACTTAGCTACACAGCTAGGTAGTCGGAGGCTTGATTGGAACTCAAGGCTCATTTAACTCCAAGTCTGGCACTTTTCCCTCTACACATAAAACTAATGAGTGACAGAACATGGATTGGAATTAAGCTTCCTGACTCCCAAGCTATATTCCACAACTCAGATTCAGCCCTGGTTCTGACATTTCACTGAGTTGTACTGATGCTCTATCCTATGTCCCTCAAGGTAGGTTACCACTCACTCCTGCCAAGTTCCTACAGAAGGATGGAGGACCACAGTACAGGAATATAGAAGGGAGAAAATGGAGAGAGGGTTAGCATAGAAATGTATAGTCATGTGGATAGATTGGACAGATTTATACAACATAGGCAGGCTTCTGAGGAAAACTAAGGAGCTGTCCAGCATTGAATTTTAAAAGGGTGATTCAATTTACCAAAAAGCATTAGAATAGGAATAGCTGCAGGGTGGGGAACCTGCAGCTTCGAGGTCACATGTGGCCCTCTAGGTCCTCAAGTTCAGCCCTCTGACTGAATCCAAACTTCAACAAAGTTCAACAAACCCCTGAGGGAAAAATCTAGAAGAAGGCTCAACTAAGGGAAGCTGAAGAAGGCCAAGCATATCCAGAAGGAAGAAAGATCAGGGGATTTCTTTGGGCAGTCTAAGAGACACAGGCAAGTTGGGTTTTAGGTGGCTTTAAGAAAAACAGCTTTAATCTTAATAATGCTGAGAAGCAATAATGTGTGGTACTGGTATAGATATCAGCAGAGTTAGGTTTGGATTCTAGCTTCAGCTCTTACTTACAGTTGTCTTCCTGGAGAGTTCACATGCCTGAACTTCAATTTCCTCATCTGTAAAATGGGGATAATACTTGCTCTCACAGGGTTAGTGTGACAAAAATGTTTTTTGAACCTTAATAGCCCTATACAAATGAAAAACTGATATTAACGATAATAATAAACTTCACGAACATCTTCTTTCACTGCCTGAATGTGTCATGGAGGTGATTCTGGGTTCCTGAAGGTTTGAAAAAACTCATTTCTTACATCAAGAAGTGATGGATTCCTGAAGTAAAGAAATATTGTTCTTAATACTTATCTGATAGAAAAATTAAACAAAGTAAAGGCCTACCCATAGTGTTCAGATCTTCATTTTCCATCTCAACTAAGATGCTGAAAGACAAAAGTTTGACTTCCAGGTTGAAAAAGGGGTGTGTGCACAGGGTAAGAGGTTAGCATTGGCTGCTTTGTGTCAAAGACAATTTGGGGCCTGGGGTACGAGCAGGAGGATGTCCTGAACATGGGAAGGCTCTGCAGAGAGGGCTGGAGCCCAGGGAGGGCCAGGGCAGTGAAGACCTTGTCTCCACCTACGGCACCATCCACCCCAGCCCGAAGGCCTCACTCACCCAGGGCACCCAGGCACCGGTAGGTCACCTGCACAACCTCCTTAAAGAGGGCTCTCTGTGTGGGGTACAGCCACGCCTACTCCTCTGGGGAGAAGCTCATGCCCATCGCCCTCAGTCTAGCCTCACTCATCTTCAGCTGTGCCTCTAAGCAGCCCCAGTCAGGCTTTCACAACCTCCATTCCAGGGGAGAGGAGGGAGTGCTTGGAAGATTCAGCTGTCCCTGTCCCAACTCCACCCACCCCTGAGCCCTGCAGGTACCCAGTGGTCCTGTCGCTGTCCCTGGGAACAGAGCAAAGTAGAACTGGACTTTCGGAGGGTGGGTGACTCTAGGATGCTGGCAGGTCAGGGACAGCAGTGATGCTTCTTGGTGATGGGGTGGACATGACATGGAGGGTTGATGTCTGACTTCACTTCAATGCGGACACAGACCATCTGGGACACCCTGTCTCCAGTGGATCTTTCCCCTTTGCCCTTCGGGTGACTTGATGCTCTTGTCTAGGCTCCCAAACACTTGGACAGCTTCAACCTACCAACTCCCTCCATCCCACTACTTCCAGCAGCAGCAGCATCCCCTGCCCTCCCTTTAAAAGAGGGTGTCTCCTCAGATAGTGAAAGGAGAGAGAGGGTGAATGGGGGAGGGTAGAGGAGTATATGAAGAAACTCAAGACTAGGGAAGGGGGGCAGCTAGGTGGCAAAGTGGATAGAGCTCTGGCCTTGGAGTCAGGAGGACCGGAGTTCAAATCTAGCCTCAGATACTTGACGCTTACTAGCTGTGTGACCCTGGGCAAGTCACTTAATCCCAACTGCCTTACCAAAAAGCAAAAAAAAAAGTAGGTAAGGGTCCCCTTCCGAATCCTCACTACTCAGTGAATATACTATGAAAAGCTTTTATTCTACCTTCAGTCTGACCTATTCTCAAACCCAGCAGTAGCCATCCCTCATGCTTTTAGCTAGGAGACTCTAGGACCCATCCTTAGAACATACAGGTCTTAAATTTTTAGCATAAAAAACTACGATTAGGTAGCATACATGATGCATAGAATGCCGTCCCTTCTCATCTTTGTCTTTTTGGAACTCCTGGCTCCCTTCAAGACTCAATTCAAAGGCTATACCCTTCAAAGGGATTTTTCTTGACTCTTCCCCAGTTTTTATTGCACCCTGTTCCCACCATTTATTTTGCATATATTCTATATCCTAAGGTGCAATCACCAGACCACCAATACTGTTGAGTTGAGCCATGAGGTGTCCAGCTAGCAGGCTTAGACCAATGAATTATAAGTGGTGGTGAACTTAATTGAATAATTAAATTTTTGTAGCTTGCACACATGAATTTCTGGTCTTGTGGTCTACCAATGAAAACCTGGTGCCTCTGTTCTCTGAGGGGAAGGAGGGAGAACAGGAAAGAGAGTATGGGGAAGAAGGAAAGTCAAGGGCAGATAAGGAGTAAGGCAATAGATATGGACCTGAATTTGATGGAAGGCAGACAGAGGAGGAAGAATAGGGATGCAGTTGTTCTCACCCACCTGGCCTTTTGGAGTTGGCACAGGAACTCACTGATTGTCCAGTTTCCCCTTAGTCTCTTAGGATACCAAGAAACAAGGGTTTTCTGTCTTCAAATCCTCAAGTATCTGTCTGGCTATGGGCCTCTTCAGTCCTTCCTCAGTGCTCATGACCAAGCAGGTCACCCCCCCCTTCTGGAAGATCTCTGGTAGTATTGAAAGCTAAGGAAGAAACTGAAATAACCCTGGACAGAAGCAGATGGCACAGTCCCACCTAGGTGACCAGTCCTTTTGCCTCCAAACACCAGGACAATCGATCCATAGGTTTGCTTCCACAGCTGACTTCTGGGTGAAGAACTTCTCTAAGTGGGGCAGGGGCTGCTTATTGTTATGGCTGAAGAGGTGGCAAGCAACATTGATGGTTGTAATAAAAATGTTATCCAAACCATATGCAGGTATATGGGTATTCTCCAGAACAGATGGAGTGGTGAAGAAGCAGTTTAAAAAAGCTGCTGAAACAGTGGTTGAGGGTGCCAGGGAAGTTGTTTTTGCTCTTGTGAGCCTGCCGGTGCTTAGTCTTGCATAGCTGGCCTTGGAGGAAGGCTTCAGCAAGCACAGGATCCCACTGGATGTCTCATCAATGTCCTTGATGTAGTAGCTGAATTCTCAGAGGGGTTCCCTCAAATTTCATCTGTTTGTGCTTCTCATTCTTGCTTCTGGGTTCTGTTGAGAAACAAGGAATCCAGAACTCAAACATTCCATTCTACAATGACTATTTCTTCTGTGGGAAGAAGGAAAAGTTGGGGATGAAATACTTTATTCACCTCCAAAATACAGGAACAAACTAGGGATCTCTGACACAGGATTCAATGGCTAATCATATCTCCTGTTAAGAGGGAATACAAGGTCTAGTGACCCTGAGGATGATGTACCAGACAATCTTATTTTAAAGCTTTTACCCTACAAAATCCCTGAGTAGAAAGATTTTGCGGACTTACTGGGGCTCTAAGAGCTGTAGGTGGTCAGAGAATATAATATGCATCTGACTGTTGCCTCTTTGTAGAAAGGCAACTCAACTTTTTGAACCCAGGCTCCTGGTAAATTGAGCTTCACTCTAGACCAAGTTACCTAAAAATCTAATAGAAACAGTTTAACACATGAAGTGAAAATTACTTCAGGTTCTTTTAATATCTTTCCCACTATTCCAGAGTAAGGGAATTTGAAGATTTTAAAATGATTTTGTGGAAACCATCAGTTAGAAATAGTTAATCTAGCTAAAAGATTCAAGAATAGCATAAGGAACAACTCAAAGCACAGCAACACATGAAGGAACAAGAGGAACACATTTACTAAAAATGGACCAAAGGATTTGAAAATTCTTCTTTGTATGTGTATTGTGTATTGTAATGTATATTGAAATAGTTCCCTAGGGAATGGAGGGACAGTTATGGTATAGGAAAGAGAGGGCTGGATGAAGAGTTAGGAGTCATAGGTACAAATGTGGCACATTAAGTTCCTCATTTGTAAAGTAGATGCATTTGTACTACCAACCTTACAGATTTGTTATAAGAACCAAAAGATGCTATCTGTATAAATATGCTTAGAAAAAACTAAAGCACTTATATAAATGTCAGCTATGATCCTAAGTAATCCTAATCTATACAAAACTGATGTTCTATTTCTGTATGATAAGGTACATTTGAATTGTACTGGTATTTTCAGAAAAATCACTAATTCCAGGTAAGGGCATTCAATGTTAACATGAACATTTTCAGGAGTTGTGTGACTGTAAAGCAGTTCAATCCTTTTAGGAGGTGCTGGTAGGTATAAGCTCAGCTCATTAGGGTCCTGGTAAAATGGTGCCTAGGCTTGTACCCTGGAAACCTGTAACAGGGTGGACTGTGAAGTCTGGGGGAGAGAAACTTACTAGTAAAGATGTTGCAGTGAGAATCTCAAAAGATGCCCCTGTAAAGGAGAAAACTGAAAGAAAGGGCTGGCAAGGGACTTCCAAGATAGGTCACAGCTAGGGAGCAGGTCTTGGTGGGTAGCCTGGGGGCCTGTACCATTCTTTCATCCTTCACCTCTCCAGGTTATTCTTGCATATGTCTTGATTTGGCTGATCTGGGTCCCAACCCTCTCAAGTTCCAACCAGGAGGTGAGTGCTGATTTTAAGACTGGAAACCCTGAGGAGACAAGAAAGTACTACCCATTAATAGTTTTCGCGTCCAAGTCCTAAGGTTGAAAGGTTCTCATATAGTGAACCCATCCATGCTGGTATACTCCTTCCCATTCCCAAGGGTAAGAAGAGCCCAATCACCCTTTCTCTCTTCTAGATCACAGGATCTTAACCTGGAATTCGTAAACTTAAAAACATTTTTTGACAACTTTACTTTGATAAATATAATTAGTTTCCGTTGTAATCCTTTGTTTTTATTTTATGCATTTAAAAATATTCTTCTGAGAAGGGGTCCACAGGCTTCACCAGTCATAGGAGTCCAAAGGTTAAGGACTCCAAAGAGTCCGAAAAAAGGTTAAGAGCCCCTGCTCTCGATTGCCCCCACACTCAGCAGACTCTCAAAGAGCCCGGACCCCTCCCCGCTCCCCCCGCCCCGGTCCGCCCCGCCCCGGCCGCGCCCCTCACCCAGCGCGCCCAGGTGGCCGTAGGTCTCCCGCATGACGTCCCTGTACAGGGCCCTCTGGGCGGGGCGCAGCCGTCCCCACTCCTCCGGGGAGAAGTACACGGCCACATCGGCGAAGCGCACGGAGCCCCTGGCCCCCGGCCCGGGCCCGGCCTCGCGCGCGGTCACGGGGAGAGCCGTCTCGCGCTCTCCAAGGTAACACACGCCCACGCAGCCCAGCCGGCGCGTGCGCGATCTTTTTCTTGGCACACCTTCCACTCCTTAAGCTGGGGCCCCGCCCGTTAAGGGCCCTGCCCACTTTCCAGAGTTGCGCTCTCTTGAGCTCCGGCCTCTGCCTTCGGGCACTTTCGGGTGTCCCAGACTCCGAAGCCGAGGACCTAGAGAAGCCCCGCCCTCTCCGGCGAGGAGAGGAGCAGAGGGGCCGGAAGTAGCTTCTTGTGGGGCTCCTCTAGGACTCAGGGAGTTGAAGCTGCTCAGTGGTGCTAACTCAATGGCTGTTGGGACGTGGGGGGCAACCGAATCGGAAGATTCCCTTAGACTATCTGGCTCTGCCCTAGCTTCGCCACCTTTATCCCCACCCCCGAGGAAGCTTTTTTAACAGCTTCTCTTTGTTGCTTTCTTAGAAGATGACGCCACTTCGGCCTCTCTGGCCCTCATAGCACTTTCCTCTTTGCCCTCAAGCACGATGGCGAAGGTTTTGGCTTCTTGCCCATAGGGAAGATGGCCGCAGCGGCGGCTTCACGCCCTTTTTTACCACCCCGGAAGACTGTACCCGGCGATTGGGCGGCGCCCGTCGGCCCAGGGAAGAAGGTGTACGGCGGTTGGGCCGGGTCAGGAAGGGCAGGTTTTAAAGGAGCCGGAGGTGGGAACAGTCCGAGAACCGGGATCTGCGGGAGGCGGCGGTGAGTGGCCGGCGGAGGGATGGGCGAAGGGGAGGGAAACGGGGCGGGGAGAGAAAGAGAAAGAGAGTGAGCGAACGGCGGGGAGGGATGAAGGGAGGAAAGCCGACCCATGCTGTCCCCCGCGGGGAAGAGAGCCCGGTGGGTTATTGATCCAGGGTGGGCGGGACGTTCTCGGGATTTTATGGGTCGGGGATCCGTTTGACAGTGGATCCCAGGGGATCTTCGGAGGGAGATCACTGGGGAGATCTGGTAGTAGGGGATTTCTGGCAACATCTGGTGGAAAGAAGATCTCCAGGTTGGGAGTTAGGGGAGGGCGATTACTCCTCCCGTGGATTTCTGATTTAGAGATTGAGGTTGAAGGATTGATTGTGCAGGGATCTGGCAAGGCTGAAAGTCCGCTAGTGGGACCTGGTGGGAAGAACTTGAAAAACTTGTGAGGGTGAAAGCTCTTGAATCGGTCTAAGGGGAGGAAACTAGTTGCAATTCGCCGGAGAGGAGGAAAGTCACCGAGGGAAGCTGTTTTAAAGAATATCCTTCTCCCACCCCATGAAGGAAGCTTTTGAGGGCTCTTAGGAGAAGGTGCAGGATCAGAGGCACAAATTTATGGTACAAAGACTTGTAAAGGATTTGATGGAGAGGAGGATTTTTCTAAGAGAGATGGTTGAGCGGGCTCCCCCAAGGACGCGATGGGAGAGAGGAAGGACTGTTGGGAGAATCTTTGAATCTCTAGAAAAAGATAGGGGTAGGGGTCCAAGCAGTTGTGAAAGAGTAATTCTTCATTGGGCTTGAGGAAACAGGTAAATCTTTTAAAGGTGTCCAGGGAGGAAAAGATTCTAGGGGATTTCCTGAGGAATTGGTGGGATGTAATTTGTAATGGACTCCTTCAAGGAGATGGGTATTAACAGTATTCTGGGAGTGAAGGGATTCTCCAGAAAAGATTAAAGGTATTCTTTTATGCCTAGCAAAGAGGGTACCATGTTGGGGACAGCCCTAGAAGACGGGCTGACCCTTACTCCCCTCCCCCCTACCCCAGGCTGCAGCCAGGGGTTAAACCTGGGACCCTTCAGGGACTCCCTGAAGCTATCGCTATCCCTATGGACTTGCCCCAAGATTCCAGGTGAGAGCGTGGCCCCTGGCCTCCCTCTAGATCTTCTTCATCCTTCTTCCTCAGGGAAGAGCCTCAGTCCCCCTGTAGGGTAGTGGGAGCCTGGGGGTGGTAGTATGGGGGCATTGTGGGATATATTTCCTTCCTGACCTATCAACACTCTTACCAGGCAAAAGGTATATGAATGGAGCTAATCAAGCACCCCCCTGGGGGAGTCATGTACACACACACCTTCCTCTTTTCTCCCCCCACACCCTTAACCCCCCTAGTCAGCCTTCCCTCAACCGGGAACCATTGGTTAGAGCACCATGGGAAGCAAGAACTCGGAAGCGGCCAAGGCTGCAGCAGCGGCTTGGAGAACCCAGGCTGAGCCCAAGGGTGGCAGGGACTGCATCACCCCTAGAGAAGGCTTCTCAGCGGGTCCTCACAGTGGTGCTGGAGGATGTCATTGCCACCAGAATGGTGAGTCCACTAAGATGGAAGGGACTAGATCCTGCCCCACTCCCCCCACCATGGATTTCAATACTTGGCATGTTTAGGAGCAGCTAGTTGGCACAGTGGACAGATGACCTGCCCTCAGGAGGACCTGAATCAAATCCAGCCTCAAGACACTTAGTAGCTGTGTGATCCTGTGCAAGTCACTTAACCCTGATTGCCTCCCCCCAAAAATACTTGGCATGTTTGCTTGGTATGTAGTATTTCTAGAAATAGCTTCCTGGCAGAAACTATATGGAAATGCCAGTGATGGTGTATATCCCAGGGTTGTTTACCCTGTACTGGAAGCTTTTGCAACCTATGCAAGGAGTTAGCTGATCAGGATGCATTCTTGTGTGCTTTCCCTGAGTCTGTTTCTTTCTTTTCTTTCATTCTCCTCTTGTTTATCTTCATATATTCTTCTATGCTGGCCTCTGAAATTTGTATTATCATTTTTTGTTTACTCATGTCCACAAAATGGTCCCTCTGTGTCCACCAAAAGCAAGTCTCTGCTAGTACATCTGGACAGCTGATTTCCCTCAGTGCCATTGATGTCAACCTGGCTATTTTCCATTTTGACACTTTCGTTTCCTTCCCATTAACTTTCTTGTAGTCCCGAGAGATGGTCCCTGAAGTGTCTTCAACTACACCACGACGGAGCAGTAGACTAGAGTCCAACCGCTCCCAGCCTTCTATGTCTCCACTCCAGTCCTCCTGGAGCCCTCAGTCACGGTAAATGGAGATATTGAAGGGGGTGGAATCTGAGGTCAGGAAAATCAGTCTAGATTTTACCTGACTCTTTTTCCTTCCTTTTCTTCCCTTCCAGACCTCCTGACTGGTCTACCTTGTGCCGGGAGCCACTAACTCGAGCTCCAAAGCGTATGGGAATCCAGAGGAGGAGGCCACTACAACTGGGAACATCCAGGCGGGGGGCTGAGGAGAATCCTTCACACCAAGACAAGCCCTCCCAGCCAGCCCTGCTTGTAATGTTGGAGGACATCAAAAATCCTCAGACTCCAGTGAAGGCCCAGGAGCTGCTGGTGAGGATCCCAAGAGAGGAATGGAGAGTAGAGGACAGGGACACCAGGGTATTAAATCAGTCAAGTCCTTTTGAGTTCTTCTTTGTGGTCAACCCTGTGACAGGTGTTCTGGGGAATATGGAAGAAACATACGAAATGGGCCTTCCCTCCAGCTGATTACACTTTAAAACTAATAGTACAAAATAGAACAGCTTAATTGCTAAATTGTGTGTTCCTGCCTGTAAATTCATAGCAGCTCAGAAAAGGGTGAGATCAATGTATACTAGAGTATTTGGGGTAAGCTTCATGGAGAGCTGGGGCTTGAGCTTGGCCTTGAAGGATGAATAGGTTTAAATAAGCTGAATGAAGAATGGAGGACTTTCCAGGTAGGAGAAACAGCATAAATGAAGAAATGGGGGTCACTCTTAAGAGGGGAGGTTAGAGATAAGGGAGAACTGGTGTCAATAACCTTAAGTTCTAGAAAGGTAGCAGGCAACGACTAAGTGTTAATGGAGGCCTATGGGGTCTCCCTGTGTGGCTCCCCTCCCTGTGAGTTCTGTTCCGCTTATCCCCAGGGCTTCAACAATGAGACTGAAGACCCAGGGATCTCAGCATGCAGGTGAGGGGCCTGGGTCAGCTGGATCTAGCCCAGAAGTCAGCCAGGCATTTTCCCACTGACCTGCAACATTTTCTGGGGAGGCAACTCCAGTGGCAGAATGCCCTGGAAAGTTGGCTTTAAGCAGGGGGAGTGGTTTGGTTTTAGTGTGGCAGGGGGATAGGAACTGCTTACTCTGGCTTTTATGATCTATCTCCTTTCTGAGTGGGTACAGTCTAAAGTGGGGTTCCCTTCCTGAGTTCCCTTTCCCCTTCATGCTTCTTCTTATTGTTCCCTGAAACCCAATGTGGTGGATTGGGGGAAGGCATCATTTGGGATTCTTTTTCTCCATCTCCACCCCCTTTTTAAAGGTGACCCTTCCAGGTCTGTAATTAAGAAGAGATGGAGTCTTTGGAGAGAGAGAGGGGCAGGCTTTGATTGGATGAGTTGGTGTGGCTGGGGATTTCATTCAGCATTGCTTTATTTCTCCCCCCCACCCACCCCAAACCAATACTGTCTACCCTTCTCTTTCCCGTAGAGTTGATCATATGACAGCTATTCACCAATCAAAGCCTTCTTCCATGGATCTAGATTCAGTGTTTCGACAGGCCTCTCCTGTGGACCATTCTGAATGCATTTTGCCAGGTAGGTGGGGCATTGAACCCCCTAGCCCATCCTTCTGGAGGGTTGGTAGGTGGCATTGGATTTTATAACATATACATTTTGGCTCTTGAAGGGGGTAACTGAAGTCTTTGTAAACATAGAAGAAGGCTGTTCGATGAAAATGTCAAGAAAAGTAGCTTAAAGGTACCTTAGAGGTGGACCTTAGCTTTCTGGGTTGGGGCTTCTTTCCTTAATGGGTAAGTCTATTTAGAAGGATAGCTCTTGGTCAGGAACCCATATTAGAGTCTTTTTTCCCCTCCTTCACTTTCCTTTTCTCTTTCTCCTCTACAGGCTCAGAGCCAGAGACCCCGTCTCCCCCACCCTCCAGCCTCTTGCGGCCACGCCTCAGCCCTTGGGGCCTGGCACCACTCTTCCGCTCTGTCCGCTCTAAGCTGGAGAGCTTTGCTGACATCTTCCTCACCCCAACCAAAACCCCCCAGGCCCCACCCACAAGCCCCACATCCCCAGCCTCACCCATGAAGCTGGAGCTGAAGATTGCCATCTCGGAAGCCCCCGAGTCTGGGCGAGTCCGGGTAGAGGAGGGGGAGGGGCCTGTAAGCCCTCGCCCCCCCATTCGTCAGTGGAGGGCCCAGGATCCTGGTCTCCCTGCTGCCCCTAGGCCTCCTTTGGGTCGAAGCCACTCCTGCCCGGACCTGGGGCCCCCTGGGGAAGAGGGATGTGCATGGTCGGCCTTCCCTCCACATCCAAATAGGCCTCGGCCCAGAAGGCACACGGTTGGGGGTGGGGAGCTGGCTCGGGCCCCACCGCCTTCCCGTCCTTGCCTTCGAAAAGAGGTTTTTCCCTTGGGAGGGTCAGGTGCACCCCCAAACATTGTCGCCACCTGCTCTCCTGCTGCTTCTACTTCCTCCTCTTTCTCGGACCTGCCAGAATCCAGGTAACCCCCCATCTAACTGTAGTATCCTGGCTGCTCTCTCTTCTCTAGATTCTTGTTTATTCTCTTCCCCCTCCTGGGGGCAGGATCAAGGGTAGGGCTTTGGGCCAGATATGGGCTAGATAAAGAGGTCTAAGAGAAATGATGAGTTTATATGCCTGACTGTGTTCTTTTTTTCCTAGGGGTTGCTCCCCTCAAGGAGAGGAGCAACAACGCCCAGAGGACATGGTGCTGTCAGACTCTGAGACCAAGGTAGAACCATTTGAGGGAGGGACTGGGGGAGGTTCTGAACTAAGGGGCTGGGGCAGACCTCATGACCTGTCCTTTCCCTTCCTCCTGCTGGCAGGCTGTGGGAAAGGTCTCCTGCTTTCGGATCCGCAGGACACCATCCAGGACTCAGCCCAACCTTACTCCAATGGGGCTGCCTCGGCCAATCAGGTGAGAGGTTCTGTCAGCTCCACACCCATTGCCCTTATATAGAAGTACTATATAATTTTGCTATCTGCTGTGGGTGTGGCCTGTTCTCACTGTGGGAAGAACTAATACTACAGCATTCTCAATTTGGGTTAATTTTTCACTTATCTTCTTGCCTAGGACATTGGAAAGACCCATTTATACTAAGCCTGTTTTTATTTCTGAGGCCCTGAAGTTATGTTTGGCTCTTCAGTGTACCCTGCCAAAGGGAGTTACCATATTTTTTTTTGTTAGGAATTCTCCAATAACAAAAATTAAAAGTATTTAATAATGATAATTTGTAATAATAATTTGTAAAAATAATAATAATCTGTATTAATATCACTGTTGGCCATTGTCACTTTTAATGGATTCATGACTTAAGAATTCCAGATTTTCATCCATTTGCAAACATGGTCTTTCAAACAGCTTGAGGGGATTTAGTAATTTTGTTAGGAGCTTGGTTGAGTGGATTTTCTGCTTCTTGCCGTTTTTGATCCACAGGTTGAATAAGAAGGAGTTCAGCCTTGAAGAAATTTACACCAACAAGAATTATCGGTCCCCTACAGCCAAAAGGTGAGTGGACTAGAGGAATTAGGGAAAGGTTGGAGAAAGAGTGAAACATTTAAGAAGTAGATGATGGGATGGTACTAACATGGAGAGGGCATTAGTGGTTATCAAAAAGTCTAGACAGGAGATAACTAATGTTTTGAAAAGTTATGGATTCAACTCCTACCCTCTGTCACTTATTAGCTGGATGGTGTTAGGCAAGTCTTTTAGGCTCTCTGAGGCTCAGTTTTCTCACCTGTAAAATGAGGTAGTTGGATGATTTGGCTCCAAGGCCCCTTCCAGGTCTGATGTGATTCTAGAGGACACTAACTTGCCCCTGGATGTTCTAGGTCCTTTGAGACTATTTTTGAAGAGCCACGAGAGCGGAATGGAACCTTGGTCTTCACAAGTTCTCGGAAGCTTCGACGAGCAGTGGAATTCCGAGATTGCAGCCTCCCTCGGCATCGGAGGCCTTCCAGGGCAGTGCGCCCTGCCCCAGGCCGAGCCCCTACCCCTGACCTGGGACCTTTGCTGCAGCAGAGGCTGGAGGAACTAGATGCCCTGCTGTTGCAAGAGGAAGAAGAGCCAGGCAAGGGTTAGGAGCTTTAGTTTTTACGTCCAGCAGCTTGTCCGTCCAGCCTTGGAAAGTGGGCCCTGACCTTGGGAGGAGGGGTCCTGGAGAGGGGTGTTCAGTCAGAAGACTGTTTTTCTCCCTAATGTTAGTAAAGTTTTTCATATGGTTATTTTGTCCCTTTGTGATTCCCCCACCCCTCAGATCATAGTTTGTTATTTAGAGCTGGGAGGAATCCTTGAAAAGTTACCTGTTGTCCAGCCATCCCCCTCATTTTCCAGATGAGGGATTGAGGCCAAGGGATGTTAAGTGACTTAGTTACACAAGTACTTTGTGGCCAAGCCTGGGATTTGAACTCAGGGGAGGACGTTCTGGTGAAGAGAACGATGTAATCAGAGACCTGGAGTTGAGAAAGCGTAAGATGCTTGAAGACCTTTTGAGTAGCTTGTCGGGACCCAAGTATCTCAGCAAATGTGTGTTTACTGGAAGTTACCACCCTTCTTCTACCAGGAAAGTCTGGAGACTGAATTAAAGGGCACATTGATGTAGCGCTTGATAGGATTTACAAACACTCAGCCTGGGTCTACAGATCGGGAAGCGGGCCGCAAAGTGACTTGGGCTCCGCGGGCTTCCCAACCACACGGGCGTTTGTCCACTCTGAGCATTAGACGGGGAGGGTCTCCGCCTCAATTCACAGACGAGGCCTGGAGGCCTGCAAAGGTTCTGGGCCAGGCGAAGGGGCCGAGGTGGGCTCCGAGCCCGGGAAGGTCTGCAGCCGAAGCGGCCTGGCGGCTCCTTTCTCCCCTCCCCGCGGCTCGGCCGGCAGCACGAGGCCGAGTTCAAAGACCCTGAGCCCCCACCCCTGCACCAGATAAAACTGTGGGCTGCACCTGGGAGCCCCACTGGTTGGACTAGGCTCGACGGAGGTGGGGCGAAGAAACTGCGCATGTGAGATGTGGGGAAGAAACTACCCCGAGGAGAGGGGGACAGAGGAGGTGAACTTGGTTCGGTCCGCGTCCACGCGCTAAGAATTAGCCAACCGACTCGGGCGGCGTGCGCGCGCCACCCCCCAGCTACGCAAGCCCATCGTCACCCGGGCCACTCAATCAGAGAACAACAGGAAGGGGCGGGGGAGTCGGAGGACCGGGACCAGAAATACGTCAGACTAATCAGGATTCGGGAAGAGGAAAGGGGCGGAGTCAGCCCCTCACACGATCCAATTACTTTTCCTTGGGCCACTGATCTCCACCCAGACTCTCCTGTTACGAACACCGTCTTGGCCTATCAACGATCGAGTCCTTCGAAGGGGAGGGAAAAGAGGAGGAGAAGGAGAAGAAGACGGGGAGACAGAGGAGGGGCGGGGGAGGGGAGAAGAAGAGAGAACCTAAAGACAACGGGAGAGCGCGACCAGCACCCCCGCCCTCTCAACGGCCGCTCCCAGGCCCTTAAAGGGGCAAGTCAGGGAGAGAAGAACGAAGAGAAGGGAAGAACGAAGGACTTTTTATGTCGGCGGAAAGCAAAGCCATTCCCCATCACCATTGCCTCACATCCGGGGATTTGGGGGCTGCCCCTTCAGCCCCGCCCCCCTCACGCCTTTCATGGCGACCGGAGGAGGAGGCTGGAGAAACTGGGCTCAGAGGAGGCCCCTTTAAATTTTCTTAAAGGGGAGGTTGCTGCACTCGGAGGACACCAACGTTTATCTTAAAGGGGAAGCTGCCGGACAAGAGCTGCCAAATCACGGACAGGGCCATCGGAAAGACTAGGGAGAAAGTGGCTTCTCATCTCTACCTTCCTCCCCCAGGCCTTTTAAATTCGGTTTCAAGGGGAAGTTGACGCATGTGAAGGACTGTAAATTAACTCATTCCCTTAAAGAGGTCGTTCGTGTCTCTAGGATCTTAAAGCCTTGAAATTAGCAGTCTTCGTTACCTGGAGGGTCTTAAATCCTTTTAAAGATTGGGCCTGCGTCTGTCTTAGAGCTTTCGTGCCGTTTTTGAAAGGTTTGAACCTTGCTTTTCCTCAGGAGGACTTGAAAACCACCCTTCCCAGGGGGAAGTCCGCTGCTCTCGGAGAAGCACAAGGCTTTCTTAAAGGGGCTGCTGCTGCTGGCAAACTTCAAAGTCTCTTTAAAGGGGTGGCTTCCCCCTTCTCCCTCAGGAGGACATTAAGCCCCTTTTAAAGGGGTGACCTACACCGCCCGGAGGACTCTGAGCCCGTTCTTAAAGGGGTGGTGCCGGCTCGCATCTTCCTCAGGACTTTCGGCTCCCTCTTTAAAGGGGCGGCCCCCAGCTTTTCGCCGGGAGGACTGTAAACCCCGCCTTAAAGGGGAGGCTGTGGCCCTCTCTTCCTCTTCCTCCTCCTCCTCCTCCTCCTCCTCCTCCTCCTCCTCCTCCTGCTCTGTCTGTAGCCCCCGGGGTTCCGGGCTTGAGGGGTGGCTCCGGTTGCTCCCGGATGCGGGGCTGAGGGAGGTCACCATGGAGACCGCGGCGGCCCCGGCCCCGGCCCCCGGCCCGCCGGGCTGGGGCGGCGAGGGCGCCTCTCAGCCGCGGCGGCAGCGGCGGTGCTCGCGGCGGGACCGGGAGCGGCGGCGCCGGGGCGGGGGGCGGCGGG